CCTTAGAACACCATCATCTTCAAATACTCAAAGCATCTAAATCCTCATATCCTCAGATAAGCAAAATCCTCAAATTTTCAGAACACCATAATTCTCAAATCTTCAAAGACCACAATCCAGAAAATCCTCAGAACACCAGAATTCTCAAATCCTCAGAACACCAAAATTCCCAAATCCTCAGAACGTCAAAATCCTCAAATCCTCAGAAATGCGGAATCTTCAAATCCTCAGAAAACCATAATCCTCAAATCTTCAGAGCACCACAATCCCCAAATCCTCAAAACACCAGAATTTCAAGATACTCAGAACACCAGAATTGTCAAGTCCTCAGAGCATCAAAATCCTCAAATCTTCAGAACACCAGAATCGTCAAATCCTCAGAACACCATAATGCTCAAATTCTCAAACACCAGAATTTTCAAATCCTTAGAACACCATAAGGCTCAAATCCTCATAACACCATAATCCTTAAATCCTCAAAACACCAGAATCCTCAAATCCTCAGAACAACATAATATTCAGATCCTTAGAAGACTATAATCCTCAAATACTCAGAACATCGAAATCTTCAAAGCTTCAGATAAGGGAAATCTTCAAAGCCTCAGACCACCAGAAATCCCAAATCCTTAGAACACCAACACATTCAAATTCTCAGAACACCAGAATTCTCAAATCCTAAGCACACCATAATCCTAAAATCCTCAGAGCATCAATCTCCTCAAATCATCAGAAAGGAGGAATCCTGAAATCCGCAGAACACCATAATCCTCAGAACACCAGAATCCTCAAATCCTCAGAACATCAGAATCTTCAAATCCTCAGAACACCAGAATTCCCAAATCCTCATAACACCAGATTCCTCAAATCCTCAGAACACCAGATTACTCAAATCCTCAGAACATCCAAATCCTCAAATCCTCAGAACACCGTAATTCTCAAATCCTCAGAACATCAGTATCCTCAAATCCTCAGAATGCCATAATTCTCAAATCCTAGGAACACCAGATTCCTCAAATCCTCAGAACACCAGAATCCTCAAATCCTCAGAACACCAGCATCCTCAAATCCTCATAACACCAGAATCCTCAAATCCGCAGAACAACATAATCGTCAAATCCTTAGAACACCATAATCCTCAAATACTCACAGCATCAAAATCCTTAAATCTTGAAATAAACGGAATCCTCAAATCTTCAGAACACCATAATTCTCAAATCCTCGAAATACCAGACTCCTCAAATCCTTAGAACCCCAAAATACTCAAATCCTCAGAACACCAGAATCCTTCTAAAAATTCGAAAATTTCGATATTTCAACGGCCGATTCTGGAAAACCGTTTACGTTATTAAAAAAAGGAGGTCGGAAGTGAGATCTGGAGTTCCAAATCTACAAGAAAATGTATTTAGGTAAATTTCGAGAATGGTGAAAAATGGGTCGAAATTGAAGAAGCGAGGACCATCGGAAAAATTTCATTCTTAAAAAGTTTACTAAAATTTTTTAACAAATTCAGGGATGTACATCTTGACGTGCTGATTCCAAAAATATAGCGTGTTTATGTTCATCGCGCAACATTTTTTCAAAATGTTCAGGTTTAAAATAAAATTTTTTAAAAATTCCAAAAATTTCGATATCTCAAGGGCCGGTTCTGGAAAAACGGTCGGAGTTAATAAAGAAACAAGGTCGGAAGTGAATTCTAGATTTCGAAATCTACATGAAAAGTACTCGTATTTAGTTAAGTTTCGAAAAAATGGCTCGAAATTTGAAATTGAAAACCATGTATTTGACAGATCATGATAATTTAAATTTAGTATTGCCTTTATTTTTTCATTTCATTTAATATTTTCACGTACACTAATTTGCAACGGTAGGTGGACAAGAGTTGAACGCTGAAGTAAACAATATTTTAAGAAATCTATTAATGAATGAAAGTGACACAAAATGTAGTGTTTTCGGAATTTGAGCCAATGAGAATTCCTTTAATGATTGGGATCAATATGTTGGCCATCTACAATAAGTAGTTTGTAAAAATTTTAAATCATTTTGTTCTTTTAATTATTCATCGGGGGTTTGTCGAGTTTCAAATTTAACACTATTGCAGTTTATAGTTTTCATGAATGACGTGGTGAGTTGTACTAGCGGTATTTGTATGTTGATGATGTGTAAATTGTAAACATAGTTGAAGATCTTAGTGACTTCATATTTGCAGCGTAGTTTATAAATTATTATTATTAAACTGGTACATAAAGAAAAAGTTAGCGTTAAATACAAAAAATCAGAAGTTATGTTCTTGATTTGTAAAACAGTATTAACACTTTTAAGTATAAAATAAATAATATTTTCTATTCGTAGATAATATAAAACCAAAGGTGTAGGTGTGATTATGGACTCTGGTTTTTACATTTGTTTAACGTAATAAATACTGTAGTTTTTATGCAAAAGCAATGAAGTGTTTCTGATGTATATTTTAATGCTGATTTCAAATTTGTTTTAAAATTTTTTATCACGTTAGAATTTTAAGATCTTCGCGAAGAAATGTTAAGAATATATATACTGGAAAATTAAAAACCTTGCCTACAGTCTTCCTTTTTTATAGGTACATGTTTGTTATTAAATAATGAAATTCTTAAGTTGTGTCCTTCACTTGTAAAACTGTACTTTTCAGTTTTGAGTACAAACTAAATAACATGTTTTATTAGTAGGTGATATCAATCCCTTTGGTTTTAGTTCTTTATGTAGGTGTCAGTGGCGGCTCGTGAAGTTTTCTTCAGAGGAGGCTCAAATTTGAAAACCACTACTTTTTATATCCTTCATTATCTGAATATTTTTTTTTGTCATGCTCACGAAAAGAACACTAGAGATAAACTATTGCATCGATTAGTCTTTTCAAAATTGCCCTATTTTCACCAACTTTCTCGTTATAGTTCTCAATATCCCTCTTATGAGCGGAATCTAAAGTAGTAGAAGAAAATATATGTTCCCGTGATTTTTCATGCCTTTACACTGCACATGAGACTGCCTTATTTTCGTTGCTCATTCTCGTTAAGTATAAGTAATATTAATATGCCGATAATACCAGCTGTTTTTAACGATCAGAAATAAAACGCAAATAAATGATATAAAAACACCTTAGGCTTTACTTAGGTACTAAAGCCTAAACACCATTCACCACTGAATAGGGAGCACGCGAAACCACCTCAATGTTTTTCCAATTTACACCCGATCGCGCCAGTTAATAAGAAAGAGATAAAATTATCCGTGCGACTTGATTTGAAAAGAGATGCACTAGCCGGAGGCTAGCGGCCTGAAGCGGCACCCCGATGAACATTTTAGCCAATGCAGTGCTGAATGATGATGGTCAAGGTTGCGGTCTCAATAGTAAGATGCATTCTCGGCGGAGGCTAGCTTCTACCGCTGGAGCCAAACGCGGAGTGGTGTGAATTATGATTGTAAGGGCGCAAATATAATTTTTTTCGATATTTTAACCTGATATATGATGAAAGTAAATTAAATCAAACAAAATATTCTGAAAAGTAACAAATGTCTATAAAAATACAAATTCTTTCATCAAAAAAATTAGAGGAAGCTCAGCTCCAAAAAACAGAGGAGGCTCAGCCTCCCCTGCCTCCTCTGAGGAGCCGCCACTGGTAGGTGTGATTATGGGTTCAGTTTAACATTTGTTAAATGTGATGAGTCTATGGAGTTTATGAAGACGTTGGAGTTTAGACATATAGAGTTTTAGACATACACGAAAGTTTACAGATGTTAATGTACTGTTGGTAATGGTTTATCCTTTAGTTAATTTACCTACCTACGTCATTTTTTCGAGTCTTCTTCACAGAACTTTAGTTTACAATTTGTCCTACTTATTAGTAATCTAGGAGACAATGTATTAAATAAAATCAATATTTAAAAAAATGAAAAATTGTCAGTAATATTGAAACATGTATTTAATTCTTGTTAACATAACCTTTTTCTAAAGTTTGGAATAAATCAAATAATCACTCTATAACCTTGGTTTTTAATAAAAAACTTTTGGCAGGCGAACTTCCCCTCACTATTACATCACTTCGTTTATCATATTTCCAAACTGAATGTATGTATTTTATTTAATGATGTTGTACAAAATGTAACATTTATTCGAAAGCTCCACTAAACATAGACATTAATGAATCCAATTTCGGTCCTCCACTGGGTACTTCGTATCCTAGTGTTTCCATAACAGCTCCTACTCCTGCGCCTAAACCAAATCCTACTGCTGCGCCTACACCAGCCCCCATTCCTGCGGCTATACCACATTTTATTCCCAAACCTACATCAATTTCGCGTTTGATGGGTCTAGATTCCACCAGGTGGTACCCCGTCATTAATAAACTGAACACAATGAGTGACTTGCCCATGGCTTATGAATTGGCTTGAACTCGGAAAAGAACGTTGCGACTTACAGAGGAAACTTGTTGCTTACCGTATGGTAAATTGTGAGGAAACAATGATCCTTTCAAACAAAAAGTTCGAACAATATTAAAAAGCTAAAGTTATCGTCACTGCCGCGATTAATTTTATGATGTCTCTAAATAAGTTTTATGTTTTATGTGTAAATTAGTCGTTGTATAATTTATTTTCCGAGTTGGAGAGCGGTGTACAGTGTCGTATTTATGACTTCGTTAATTGGTCTAAACAAGAACTGTCAAAAAGACCTCGGACATAAAGTGCTAATTCCAATTATGGCTAAAATTAAATAGCCAGATTAAAATAAAAGCTAAATATGGAATCACACCGTAATTTTTGTGATAAATAAAATTTTTTGCAAGCGAACTTCTCCACCCCTATTTCATTGCAAACACATTCCGCCATCTTTCCTTTTGAATTCGACATTTTCTTTGAATTTTGCCGGAACTAGGTTCACTTCACCACACCAGTATTAGAGAGTGCTTTTTTGTACTGCATTTTTAGATATTATCATTTTTTGTTTTGTGGAGATAATAATGAAGAAAAAAATTGGATCCATAATTGCAAGTATATTTTATGTACAATATACAATGATACATAAGCATCATAAAAATATATTAAACCAAGAACATGGCATTCGTTGTATAAAGAGAAAACTCTATGGTAACATTTAAATAAATATTTACGCCCTTTCACCCTTTTCTAATAAAAAGGCATGTGTTTGTAGAGCTTGCTGTTCGCTTGGTGTCCCATAAGGCTGTGTGCATCAATACCATTATTAACACCATATACAGCCCCGCTTCCACCGAACTTCTTTTCTCCAAAGTTCCCATGCCCAGCATTATTGTTATCAATGAAGTGCTCGTTGTCGAAGTGACCCTGTTTCTTCGCACCACCTTGGGCAAATTCTCCATTTTCGTGACCACCCTTGAAGGAAGATGCTCCCTTAGCCCCGAAGTCTCCATATTCACCATTGAAGTTGACTTTGCCGCCTTCATCATTTTCCTCATCGTAGAAATCTTCAGTTCTGCTGGTTTCGTCTTTGTGGTGAGAATTTTTGAAGCCCTTGATGACATGTCCCTTCTTGTGTCCTTTCTTTTCGTTGACTTGACCGCCTTGTTTACCTGTGGATGCCTGTGTTAGAGCAAATTTGAGCGTCTGTGTGTTTACTCACCTCCTTTGTCGAAATGTTGTCCTCCGTAGAAGGATTTACCATCTTCGGCGAGTTTCTTGGCACCAGTGGCGTCATTGAAGTATGCTGATTCGCCTTTGCTGTTTTTAGCAGCCGCTACCCCTTTGTTGAAGCCCTCTTTACCCTCGTTGAATTCTTCTCCCTTACTACCCCCAGCTTTTTCGAACGCTTCATCCTGCAAGTTTTTCTTTCCTCCACTGAAGACGTTGTTGTTGATCATTTCTCCCCCGTAGCCGTGCATCAAGGGACCTCCGATGAGACCGGCGCCGCCTCCCATCATGCCTGCGCCTCCCATCATGCCTGCACCTCCCATCATGCCTGCGCCCCCCATCATGCCTGCACCTCCCATCATGCCCGCACCTGCTCCCATGAGACCGGCGCCGCCGAGTCCTGCACCGCCGCCGATGAATTTAGCCGCTCCGAGTCCCATGCCTGCTCCTCCGAGCCCGATTCCTCCGCCGTAGCCGCCCATACCTATTCCTCCAGCTCCCATGCCGCCCATGCCGATGCCTGCGCCACCCATGCCGACGCCACCGCCGCCCATGCCGATGCCGACTGGGACGAACCCAGCTTCCACCAGGTGGTAGCCCGTCGCTAATAAACTGAACAGGATGATTGACTTGCCCATGGCTTGTGGATTTGCTTGAACTAGGCAAAGAACGTTGTGATTGACTGAGGAACGTTCGGCCGTTTATATAGTCAAATTATTTAATGCGTGAAGATTTGGTTGATTGATTTTCTTAGTTTATTGTGTGGAATTTTAGCGGATGATGGAGTGGGGAAAGTATTGCGGTGCGACCTTAAGATGTTTGATTGTCTAATTTGCGTGGAACACATATGCAGGGGAAACCAAGTTAAGCGTGGCGACAAATTTTATTGAAATTCTTATGTAATAACTTAAATATGGTAGTAATTCGTGTCAATTTTTGAAAAATATGTATGCAAACGTTAATAAAAAAACAACTTTTGATGTGTCCTTTGTACGGAGTGTAGAATGAAATCTTAAAAAAAAAATCAGCTTTAAGCTAACAAGTTCTGTATTTTTGGAGCTATTTTTGAATTGTCCTTTTAAAGTTTTACACAATAGAAAATAGTGTGAAATTTTCCACTACAGTGTGTTTAATTCGATAAGAAGAGTGGAATTCCGCACAATTTAACAAAAACAGTTGAATAGATTAAATTAATTTTGGACGACTTAAGTACCTATTAACTTTTTTTTTAACGGTGCCAGAGGTATAAAATATATTTTATTTAAAAAAATTATAAATAATAATCTCCTACTTTTAGCAATTTATTCTGTTCTGACACGATATTTACTTCATTTGTTTTCTATATGTGTAATTTAGATCTTCAAGGTCAACAGTGATCAGTCAAAATCTTTAATAAACGTCAATTTATTGACAGGTGTTGTCAATTTTTCAATAATGATGCGTCTAATTTTTTGTTCCAAACACTTTCAAACAAGATAAAAAAATCAAGGTAATAGGGGTTGACTGAAAGAAAATATAATTAAATAAGGACAGTATTAGCAATATTGTCATATGTATTTATTTTAAAATTCATTTTCTATTTTTTCAATATATTTCAATTCGTGATCTTAATAAAATAAAAAAGCAGAAACTGGGAAAAATAGAGTGAATTTATTATTGGCAAAAAACAGGTAGTGTTTGTTCTGTTTCAGTAAACATAATGATTCATAACAATGAACACACTTCAATAATTCTGTTGACGGCATAAAAATAGCAAAATATTTGAGACAGTCTTATAAGAAATGAATTATTTATTGTTGTTTCCTGGGCGGTGCGTAACTCGTGGAAAACGAAGGGTCGGTTTCCTGTGTTTATCTGGCCGTGGAAATTTATTGCACTGAGATAACTTCCAAAACTCCCAAACCGATGACTTTGAAATTTTACGTGTATCTACTTTAATTAAGATTAGTTGATAGTCAAACGGTAAACAAAATTGGTCTTTTTTTATCTTCTGAAAAAAATCGACGACAAAATTTCAAAAATTAAATAAATGTGTGATCTGGAATATGTAACATGGCTTTATCTCTGTTTTAATAATCGATCTACAGTTATAGTAAAGTAGAATCTGTACAAAATAAAAATTTCGCTTTATCAAGTGTACTTTTTTGAAAATTTGATAACATCTAACATACAGAACAATGAATGTATGTACTCTTGGCTAAATTTTATTTATTCATAACCTTCCGAAAAGAAAAGAATGATTAATTAAATTTTTTAAAATACAGGTTTGGTGTAAATGTGTGGTTTTATTTTTTTACGATAGATTATTACCTGCGTAAAATATTTTAAAAATGAAGTCATTCAATTTATTAGTTAGCGTTATTCCAGGAAGGTTTCTGGCAAAGTTAAGATCTTATGGTTTTACTATGTACTTCATTTTAGAATATATTTTACAAAATTTTAAGATGATGATGAAAACACAAGTTTCGATAAACGATTTACTAAATTTGGATATCTGGAGTGAAAAATTAAGGCAGATTCACTGCCTACAAGTATGGGAATATGTTATTTTATAAAACTGAAAGAGCATTTGCCACGCAAAATTGTGAGGTGATGTCATCAAATTGTTGGTGGTGATAATTAGATAAATTTTATCATCTGCACGATATTTTTAGAAAACCTATAGAATTTGTCAGTTCAGTAATTTTGGAGACAGACAGTAGAGGGAAGCGAGAGACGTATTTTTTCATTCTCTAGGGGTAATGATACGTCGAGAAAACATTAAACTAGCTGTTCTACGGATTCGATTACAAAATAGTGGACTAAATATTTAAGAGTTGATAATATCGGGTGATTTTTTAAATTTTTGCTCTAGTTAGCCGTTATTCTTACGTCAGCGGTTTCAATTGCACTGGACGTATGCGTCATAGCCAACTGGAGCAGAAATTAAAAAAAAACACACGGTATAAGGAGGACAATAGTTTATTATTATTTTTAGTTTATGTAACAAGTTTTTGTCTTATTAGACCTTGCCTTTTATATGAATAATAAGGTTTTTATTTTAACACTTTTAAAGGTTATAGAAATACGGACAGAGATGTGTAATTAAGGTTAGTCTGCTTGCTTTAGGGTTATAATTATAAATAGCCGAATACTAGACAACCATTGAAATATGCTGTACTGATGAGACCTAATAAGGAGGTCGAAACTGCGGTCTAAAAATTTTCACTGGGTTGTGTAAATGTTTATAAATTTATAAATCAAATATATTAAACAGAAATATCGATAAAATCCATTTCCAAGATAGTAAGAATATTGAAAAATTCCTATTTATACTCTTAACTCTTACGGCCCTCTCAAGAGTACATTGGTAATGTAATTATCACAGAAAAATATATTCTTATTTCCGGAGGGATTTGCTACTATCATGTTTTATCGACGTTTCATGACCGCTAGAGTACGAAAAAAGTATTTTGTATTTTTGTTTGTTGTATTTTGTATGCACATGCATTATATTAGGAATATCGTAGGTATACATAGATGGTAAAACGCTAACCAAAATTTGCCTAATTATTATCCACACCAACAATTTAATGGCGTCATGTCTATATTTTGTTTAGTAAGTACCCAATTTTATAAAATAACAAACTCCTATACTTGTGGTTTATGGATTTGCCTTGATTTTGTTTGTTAATACAATTCAATTTTCAAAATGCAAACTGAAGAAGCGGAAAACGTTTATTCAAAAGAAATCTTAGAAGAATTTGAAGTCGGCCAGGGAATAATTTGATGAAATATTTATTATAAACTTTAATAAAAATGTTAAATATCGAAGCTTGTTTGAATAATTAATTAATGTAAATGAATAATCAACCGTTCCTTAGCAATTTTTGACTGACTGTTTAGTAGGCAGTAGTAAAATTCGTGTATTTATCTGTATTAGAAAACACCTGATGACATTTTCAAAATTTGATCTAAGGTTACTTAGACAGAACTTCGGACATCCTTAAAATACAGTCCAACAAAGCCAGCTTTTTCGAAAACGGATAAAATTTGATTTTGCGAAGCTTAATTTTTCATATAAGTTTAAAAAATATGGGTGCATTATATATTTTACGCAATTTTTACATGACGTCAAACAGTTTTTTTTACCATAACTTAAAACGCTTACAAGATGTCAGAGCACTTGATTTTATAGTTTCTAAGTAGAATTGTAAAATGTTCTTGCAAAATTTTGAATTTTTTGTGAAAATTTGGATGCCTAGAGTGAAAAATCAAGGCAAATTCATAGATAATGAGTAGAGGAGTATGTTATTTTATAAAATAGAAATAGTATTTACCATGCAAAATAGTGAAGTGACATCATCAAATTGTGTTGGTGGAGAGGAACAGATACATTTTATTTACAGGGGACAGACGACAAACAGAGGGAAATGGAGACCTATTTTTCCATTCTCTAGGGGTCATGAAACGTCAAGAGAATATTAAAGTAGCCGCTTGATGGATGGACTCTATTACAAGACGCTCGGAAAATACAACACTGAGTAAATCTTTATTAGAAAATATTTCCTGGGATGTATGGTCTGATTTATTTTCTACACTGTCTCAGGAATGGTTGCCCTGTTTTTTTTTTATAGTTCTGTCAATAGAATACTGTTTGGTTTTGTTTATTAATTGTTATTGATAATAAGAATTTATAAATTTGTATTATATTTTTTATCTATTATTCGTACAGTGATGGGGTGGGAATTTTTAAAGTTAGTTATTAAAACTTTGCCCCAATAAAACATATATTGCTAAAATTTTATTTCTTTTTGCTTTTACGTTGATATTATTGGCGAAGTTCTTAATCGTGGACCAAATATTGAAATCTCAGAGCTAATAAAATGAGTGACCAAAATGGAATGGGGTGGGTGGGCGGGGCCACTTTAAAATCATAGATTCTACCGCTTATTAAAATAGAATTCAATTGCCATTTTACAGTCAATTAAAGAAGTTGGTGAAATGCAAAAAGGCGGTGGGCGGGGTTGAATTTAGTTTGTCTCTCCACCCACCTCCTCTTCATTCTAGTAAGTACCCATATTGTTCAGTCTTATCTCAGCAAATACTGGCCCCGCCCACCCACCCTCTATTTTATTAGAGGGTGTATCATCTGCCAAAATTAGTCTTATCTTAGTAGCGTCCTAGTCCCGCCCATTCGCACTGTTTTCATTCTAAAACAATTTTATTTCGGCTCATTATTAGATCTACCTTAGATTCACACCAGATATAAGAGTGGGAATGGGAACTAATCACATCTAGGCTGTTAAAAAAAAGAAAACAAAAGCGCTAATCGTATTTTTTATTATACTAAGTATATGCTATAAGATTTAGTTCCTAATTCAGAAGACAAAAAAATGAGAGAAAGGGTGGGTGGGCGGGGCTATTTTGGACTTTTTTCTACAAGCGTACATAGTATTGTAAACAAAATTTTATTACAAAAACATATAATCCTAGATTCTATTATGGATAAAAAAATGCAATAAAATTTAGTAAAAACTATTCCGAAAAAAAATGTAACCTTAGATTCTAACTATTATTTGTCAATACAAAATTCAGCTTCTGTCTCAGAGCCAATAAAATAAGTGATCAAAACGGAATAAGGGTGGGTGGGCGGGGCCACTTTTGTGTTTGTTTGAAATCTTAAATTCCACCACTTGTCTAAATAAAATTCAATTCCTACTTTACATAAATAAAATAAGTCAGTGAAATGAGTAAAGTAGGTGGGCGGTGCTGAGTTTAGCCATTCTCTACAGTCTTATAGGCAAGCAGCGACCCCGCCCCACACCTCCTCTTCATTCTAGTAACTACCCATAACATTGTTCAGTGTTATCTCAGCAAGTATTAGCCCCGCCCACCCACCCTCTATTTTCTTAGAGGCTGTATCATCTGCCAAAATTTCTTCTTATTTCAGAAGGCAAAAAATGAGAGAACGGGTGGGTGGGCGGGGCTAATTTTGACTGAATTTTATTAAAAAATATGTAATCCTACATTCTATTATTTGTAAACATGAAATTCAATTTTCACAGGGCCAATAATATGAGTGACCAAAACGGAGTAGTGGTGGGTGGGCGTGGCCACTTTTAACTTAATTCGTTTTACATTTTAAATTCTACTGCTTATCAAAATAAAATTTAATTCCCTGTTTGAAAGTAAATAAAAGATGTTGGTAAAATGGAAAAAAGCCGGTGGGCGGGGTTGAGTTTAGCATTTTTCTACAGAGTCCTATAAGCAAGCCGTAGCCCCACCCATCCACCCCCTCTTATCATGCTACTCGTAGTAACTACCTAAGTCTCTAGTTGGCCATGACATTAGAACTATTGTTTATTGTGGAAATTTTAGTAGTTTTTTTTCATAATCTAGGTGTCTTTATTATTTATAACTGCTTGGTACATATTAAAATGGATACATGTGTTGCATTCCATTGAAGTATTCGGTACTGATGAGAGACCTAAAGTTGTCGAAACTGCAGTATAGGTACAGATTTCACTGAGAGAATTTGCCTTGATTTTGTGTGTTAATGTTATCATTTTTTCATTATTCAATATTTCTCGTAATAATGCTGTTCTTTAAATACATAATATGTTCCATTCGAAACATTGGCTATGGCTCAATGACATCCGCAGTACCTTTACATCTGAAGGGTACGGGGTTCGATCTCTGATATACCCATTTTTTTTCCTTACACTACTGGTTTACCTCTTTAGCAATTCATACATATCTCTACTTTAAATTATAAGGGTTATTTTAATTTTATACTTTTTTGAAGAAGTTGAAACAGTTGAATTATACTTCAGGCGGTGTAAATAACCTTGAACGAACTATTTTTATATTAAGAAAATCTCATGTTTTCTTTAACCACAAAGTACTAAAAATTTTTTTTAATTAAAAAAAAATAGGCAAGTTATCAAACAAACAGAAAGAATCGTAAATTGTGATCGTCGGCCGTCTCCTCTATCTGTTCTGAGTTTATGGTTTCTTAGAATAAAACGTGCGTATCAATGCACAATCGAGTCCTCGATAGCAGAGGAGCCGTCAATAATCCAATGTTTTCTTTAATATTTCGATGTCCATTGTTGTTGTAAGTTAACTGCTTATACAGAATGACTCAAAAAAATTTATGAATTAGCCAATTTATTTTATTGATTAACCCAATTTTCCAGAAACTTTGGGAATATAGTACTGTTATTGTTAGTATTAGATTCCACCTATTCAAATTAATATATTTGTCCTTGCTAAAATGTTAATAACAAATTGTTGTAATGGAAAAATTCACTTGAAACTGCGAATAGCCTACTTACCTTTACTTTAGTACACATATATCTTTATTTTAACTTATAGGGGTTGTCATAAAAAAAAATAATTCGCAAAATCAAATTTTATAAATTTTCGAAAAAGTTGGATACGTCGTATTGTACTTTGTACTGATATTTTCTTTGTAATTGTTATTTATTCTTTGTCACAGAAGGTAAGTTTATTAGACCACCACATTTTGAAATATTTAAAATGTTTTCTTAATCGCACTTCTGCATCTTTGATCCGTTTAGTTCCATACTGTTTCACTGTACGTTCACTGGGATTATGGTTTATTATTTTGCTTCATGTTGCTCGGAGGTGATATAAGAATGTTAAAAATCTGTTTTTTCTTTTTGTTACACTATTTTTGTATAAATAATAGTAATTAATTTATTACTATAATAAAATAGAGTATACGAACACACGTCTAGTTTTTTTTTTGTAAATTTTGGGAAGCATAAATTTATTGCTTACTTCGTGTATTGTAGTAATAAACTTGGGAAAAAAGTTTATATAGAAGAAATTGTTGAAATATTTAGTATTTTAATGTATTTTAACAACATCCTGATACTTATAAATTAATGTTGTTTTACTTGGTAAGTTATCTGAAGTGGGGGGTTATTATTATATGCTTTGATTACTGCGAATAATGGAAACTCAGTTATTGCTTTCGACGTTGCGAGTATATATTATATACAATGTACAAATAATACATAAGTATCATTATAAAGAACATTAGACCAAGAACATGGCATTCGTTATATAAAAAGACAAGACAAGATTCATCTATGGTAACACAAAATAAATATTTACGATCTACAATCCGCTTCTAATTAATCAGTAAAAAGGCACATGATGGGGGTAGTGTTTATAGAATTTACTATTCTCTTGGTGTCCCAAAAGACTGTGTTGGTCAATACCATTGTTAACACCATAGACAGCGCCACTTCCACCATATTTCTTTTCTCCATAGTTGCCATGACCAGCATTGCTGTTATCAATAAAGTGTTCATTATCGAAATGACCTTGTTTCTTATGGTTGCCCTGGGCAAATTCTCCATTCTCATGACCACCCTTGAACGACGAAGCCCCCTTTTCACCAAAGTTTCCATATTCACCATTGAAATGTACATTGCCACCTTCGTCATTTTCTTCATCGTAGAACTCTTCAGTTTTGCCGGTTTCGTCCTTGTGGTGTGACGATTTGAAGCCCTTGATCATATGACCTTTCTTGTGTCCTTTCTTCTCATTGAACTGACCGCCATGTTTACCTGTAGGTACAGCGTTACGAAAGACTTTAACATTTCTTTCACTTACCTTCTTTGTCGAAGTGTTGTCCTCCGTAGTAAGTTTTGCCATCCTCGGCGAGTTTTTTGGCACCAGAAGCGTCAGTGAAATAAGCTGATTCCCCTTTGTTGTTCTTTATGGCAGCAACTCCTTTGCTGAAACCTTCTTTACCAGCATTGAATTCTTCACCCTTTTTACCTGAAGCTTTTTCGTAAGCTTCATCGTTCAAGTTCTTCTTCTCTCCGCTGAAGACGTTCTTGTCAACGATTTCGCCACCATAGCCGTGCATCAAAGGTCCCCCAATGTATCCACCGCCGCCGATGAGACCCGCACCTCCTCCGATAAGGCCGGCACCTCCAGCTCCGATGAGCCCGGCACCTCCAGCTCCGATGAGCCCGGCACCTCCAAGTCCAGCACCACCGAGTCCGGCACCGCCACCGATGAACTGGCCGCCGCCTCCGATGTATTTAGCTGCTCCCAAGCCAGCTCCTCCGAGTCCTATTCCTGCTCCTCCGAGACCTACTCCTCCTCCGTATCCACCGTATCCTCCGTAGCCACCATATCCGCCATATCCGCCGTATCCGCCGTACCCTAGGCCTCCGGCTCCCATACCGCCCATGCCTCCGGCGGCGATTCCGCCGCCGACGCCCCCGATGCCGACGCCCGCTCCAGCCCCCAAGCCTATTCCGGCGGCCGGGTAGTAACCGCCCTCGACCACATGGTATCCTCTCACTGGGATTGTGGAGGCGGCGGTTTTCATGACATCTTCGGTTTCATATCGGTACTTATAGACTGGTTTGCGGGATGCGAGTTCGTCTTCGGCGAAGACTGCAAGGAATAAACTCAAGAAGACGATCAACTTGGTCATTGTGTTTTGGTTTAATGGAACGATGCGAGAACGTTTATGACTGGTCGAAGAGTGTTCGGCCGTATATATAGTAAAATTATTTAAAGCGTGAAGATTTGCTTGATTGGTTTTCTTAGTTTGTTGTATGGAATTTTAGCGGCTGAAGGGGTGGGGAAACCACCGCGGTGCGACCTTAAGGTGTTGAGATTGTCTGATTGTGTTGTCAATTCGACAACCTTGATTCAGATTATTAGCTTGAGTCACGGGAAGTATACTTTGGTTTCGTGATATCGTAATTAATTACGTTACGAATGACTTTAAGCGTACGTCCGTTGACTAGTTTAAGTAGTTTAATAAGAAATAAGCATGATAATTAATTAACCAATTCGTTTCAAATTTTATGGGACGTTAACCTGTTTCCATTTAGGGATCTGACACACTTTGTGGTGACGAACCTCAACGTATTATAATTATATACTTATTTAGAAGAAGAACATTTCATGTGAGTGTTTTAACATAGAGAAAAATGTTTATTCATGCATTGTGTCAAAAAAAGTGAAATTACTTTACCATTGCATGAGTTGAGATGAAGCTGGAACCGCAAAAATTACGCTGCGGAAATGGAGTGTTCAACAGACTTTGAAACTCGCAAGAAACTGCGGATTCGGTCGAAGAACGTCCTAGAATAGGTCGTCTGTTAATTACCACCCACAAAGTCTTAAACGTGGTTCGGTATTTGTGGTTAGTACTCACATAAAATTCACAATGAGCAAATTTTTTTTTATTAACTATTATTTTGAATTTTCTTTATCTGAAAAAATCCTGCCTTCGCTTATATGGAATCCTATTACAGCGAATTATGTTATACTGAATCCTGTGCTTTTATCCTTTTATCGCGAATCCTGTTATGGTAAATTGGTTACACGGAGCTTGACGCAACATGTAAAGTCGTTTATATTTAAACTCTGGTAATGAATATCCAAATTTAGCTTTTTTTTAACAAGGGCTTACTTGTTCTAATTTTATTGTTTCTATGAGTACAACTTCATGGAACTAAAAATTGGTAAACTTATTACGACCGATTGAATGTAGCATTCTTAGAAGTTTGCGAGTTCTCGTTATTCAAAAAAAGTTTTGTAAACTACTTTGTTTTTTTTTTCCAGAAAGAATTAATTTAATTTAATTTAATTTAATTCAATCTCGTCGCTGTCAACCGTATTGAACAGAAAACCTAACTAGGACAGCGTAACCAACCTTAAGTTTTATTGTTGTTTCATCCTGTTTTAAAACATTTATAACAACAATTTCAAATCAATAAACAAGGTGTCGATGTTGTGACCACATTGTTATCTTTTTATCGATTTTACTTCAGACTTTGTGTATATGTACACAGCGTATTTGCGCTACCGAGCTTTTAAGTAAATGTAAATATTTGTTTTGTTCAGTGAAAACCAAGTAGCAGTTTCGTGTACGTATATTGGGTGAATAATCCATAAAAATTAATAATTCACAGGAAGAACCTTTGAAAAAAAAAAACAGATTGCTTTAGGAAAAAATGATTAAATTTTTAATAGGTTGATTGCTATACAATCATAAACAAAATTTGTTTTAGATTGTTGGAGAAACAAACCGCCTGATTGCACAAGTGTATTAAATGCAGAAAATGACGACAGAAATAAAGAAAGAATCAGTCCTTACAGGATATCCGCTAACTGAATTTCGCTAAAATTGACCTTAATAAACAAAACCAGAAAAATGGCTGTGAAGGACGATAGTCAGTACTTTCTTGGAATAGTTGTATGCTTTTAAAGATTGACACTAACTACATCGTTCAATAGAGTTGTTTGTCACTTTCCAAAAACCTTTTTTTAAGCAGAGTTTGTCATTTTTTGGCAAATATAGTAATCACACTGTTGATATTTATTTTATTTTATTTTAAGATTGAGTTGATCATGTGAACGAATTAAAACATTCAACGAGTCCCTAAAAAAATGGTAACGAATTTTCTCGTTTTTGAGACAAAAAACATTGAAATTTTACTCAAAAATTGTTGGCTTAAGTGCCCGTCTCGCTCTCCTGACCTTAACCCTTGTGATTTTTTCTCGTGAGGCCACATAACAGTTATTACACCAAGCGGCGGTCAACACAGTTGAAGAATTGACAAATGGATTGTGCAAGTTATTATTTCCCTCACGTATTGTTTCCACAAAGTTTCTTGCTCCACTATTTTCTGAATTAAGCTTCGCTCTGTTGAGCTTGAGTACCACAAGCACCTACCTTACTACTCTTCTTCTGGCATCATTACTCATGATAATTTTTTTGGCATTTTACTTATCATTATCGTTGCCAAAGGGATTTTTGTAGTTTTCGTGGTTACTAACATTTATAAAAGTACTACACCTGGTGATTCATCAGTGGTGTCGAAAAAGTCTGGATAGGAGTCGATAATCGCCACATTAATTTTAATATTGATATTTTAAGTATAAATTTTATTGTTGAAAGAAAACTATATATATTAAGAAAAAAAAGTCAAGGATGCGCTCCGACATAAAATGTGATGAATTTTTCATTCGTTGTCAGATTGAGGAGCAAAATCTAAAAAAATTTACCATTTTGAACATTTTTTAAGTTTTTAAGTTTCATGTTATGAAAAGAAGATTACGTATATTAAGAAATAGAGGCAAAATATAAGCCCCGCCCACCCACCCTATCTCAGTTGTGACAACTTTTTTTATCCGTCGTGAGTCGGAAGGCTGAGCTTAATTGCAAAATCCTTATTTTTCTACAAGAAATTGTCGTGTGAAACATGTTCTTAAGAAGTACGGTTTTCGAAGAAAACTAAATGTATTAAGTAAAAAAGAAACCCCGCCCGATCTTAACTGTGATGAAGTTGTCGGACCGAGGGGCGGAGCTTATGACAAAATCGATATTTCCCTATAAAAATTTACCATTTTTAACATATTGTAAATTTCTTGTTGTGAAAAGAAAACTACCTACATATATTAAAAAAAAAGGCAAGAAGGCTTGCCAGACGTCTCAAATTTTTTTGTAATACTGTATTTTAAAAAGTATTTAAGTGGTTTATTTTTTTTCTTTATTTGTGTACATTATTATCAAATGAAAAATAAATGGATTCAGGGCAAAAGAGGATACAAAATGTGCATGGAAGCCATATGGATCGTAAATAATAGATAACGGACATTAAAATAAGAAACTTTTAAATTTGGCTTGAACCCAGTAAAGTATTATCCTGTAAAATACGTATGATACACAATACACAGTTTTAAATAAAACAGATATTGTGTTTTGGTACTTAAACTCTTGTAATTATTTGAGTTCGATGTTTTCCAGTTTATTTGCCCATTAGTTTACGATAGAAGCCAATAACTCCTTTGTATGAAGACAGGAAAGATGCTTCATTGAGTTTTCCCCATTGTTGTATTGTGGAATAAGTAAAAGTTGACAAATATCTTATTGGAACTGTTGTACAACGGGCACATTTTATCTGTGGAGTTGATTAACAAAATAAGATCACTTTGAAAAGTTACAGAATTTAAACGAAAGATTATCAGAGCCGAAATAGAGACATTATTGAGATAAAATGTGGGGTTATAATTTACCATTTTGAACATTTTTTAAGTTTTTAAGTTTCATGTTATGAAAAGAAGATTACGTATATTAAGAAATAGAGGCAAAATATAAGCCCCGCCCACCCACCCTATTTCAGTTGCGACAACTTTTTTTTATCCGTCGTGAGTCGGAAGACTGAGCTTAATTGCAAAATCCTTATTTTTCTACAAGAAATTGTCATGTGAAACATGTTCTTAAGAAGTACGGTTTTCGAAGAAAACTATATGTATAGTAAAAAAGAAACCCCGCCCGATCTTAACTGTGATGAATTTTTCATTAGTTGTCGGACCGAGGGGCGGAGCTTAATGACAAAATCGATATTTCCCTATAAAAATTTACCATTTTTAACATATTGTAAATTTCTTGTTATGAAAAGAAAACTACCTATATTAAAAAAAAAGGCTTGCCAGACAGCTCAAATTTTTTTGTAACTGTATTTTAAAAAGTATTTAAGTAGTTTAATTTTTTTTCTTTATTTGTGTACATTATTATCAAATGAAAAATAAATGAATTCAGGGCAAAAGGGGATACAAAATGTGCATGGAAGGCACATGGATCGTAAATAATAGATAACGGACATTAAAATAAGAAACTTTCAAATTTGGGTTGAACCCAGTAAAGTATTATCCTGTAAAATACGTATGATACACAATACACAATTTTAAATAAAACAGATATTGTGTTTTGGTACTTAAACTCTTGTAATTATTTGGGTTCGATGTTTTCCAGTTTATTTGCCCATTAATTTACGATAGAAGCCAATAACTCCTTTGTATGAAGACAGCAAAGATGCTTCATTGAGTTTTCCCCATTGTTGCATTGCGGAAAAAGTAAAAGTTGACAAATATCTTGGAACTGTTGTACAACGGGCACATTTTATTTGTGGAGCCGATTAACAAAATAAGATCACTTTGAAAATTTACAGAATTCAGAGCCGAATTAGACACGTTATTGAGATAAAATGTGGAGTTATAATTCACCATTTTTAACATGTTTTAGGTTTCATGTTGTGAAAAGAAGACTAGGGATTTTTGTGGCTTCATGGTTGCTAAAATTTATAAAAGTACGACACCTACTAGTGATTTATCAGAGGTGTCGAAAAAGTTTGGATAGGAGTCGACTGTCCCCACATTAATTTTAATATTGATATTTTAAGTATTTTATTGTTGAAAGAAAATTATATATATTAAGAAAAAAAAAACAAAATATAAGCCCCGCCCACCCTCCCTACCTCATTTGTGATGATTTTTTTATTATTTGTCGTAAGCGGCGGGGGCGGAGCTTAATTAATTGCAAAATCCTTATTTTTCTACAAGAAATTATTACCATGCGAAATCTGCTCCTAAATAATCGTATTGTTCAAAGAAAACTATATGTACCAAGTAAATTAAACTACCTACTCACACCCCGATTTAAGTTGTAAT